CTAAGGAGCCATGGTGGCACAGCGTCTAGAATGCAGTATTGCAGGCTGACTCTGCCCACAGCCAGCAGTTTGATCCTGACCGGCTCAAGGTTGACTCAGCCTTCCATCCTTCTGAAGTTGGTAAAATGAGGACCCAGATTATTGGGGGCAATATGCTGACTGTGTAAACTGCTTAGAGAGGCCTGTAAAGCACTGTGAAGTGATGTATAAGTGTAAGTGCTAAATTTGAAATCTTCTGCCACAGGTTTTTACCTGTTTCCAAAGTGTGTCAAAATTATGAACTCTCTTGATAGAAATAAAGAATTCCATCAAAGGAATATTTTCTGTCTTTTGTACATGCTCAAAAGCAGCAGCTATTTTTCACTCATTAAACCTTTGTGTGTGTGTGTGTGTGTGTGTGTGTGTGTGTGTGTGTGTGTGTGTGTGTGAGAGAGAGAGAGAGAGAGAGAGAGAGAGAGAGAGAGAGAGAGAGATGCTGAAGAATTTGTGTCAAAGGATACAGATTTGGTTGCTGGTTGCTGTTTTATCAGAGACCGGAAACCATGTTCCATCAAGAGGGTCAAGCTTTTTGAAATATGCAAAGAGAATGATTTCTTTTTTGACCAATTCATTCTTCCCAGCTATATGCATAAAAATGTAAGCCTGCAGCATGTCGTCACCCGTTTCATTCCGCAATCCAGCAAAATCTAGACTTTCCTTTTCCACATTCAACCAGACTAACTCAAATTATATTATTCTGCAAATCAGTAAAGTAAAAGGAATGACAAACTTTCCCAAGTTAAAAAGAATTACAGTGGCTCTTAATTCTTCTCTACCATTCCTTAACCTTTAAAAACAGTTCATTCACTCCTGCTCCAATCTCATTTCCAGTTGAGTAATAACTGATGAAAAAAATCTAGCATGGAAAATTAGGGTTTTTTCCCCCAGAGGGAACAAGGAATGATGGGAAATACTACCAGCTGAATTGTTTTTTATTAGACTTGCCATAGTGGAACAAGTCTATTAATAGTATAGCAGCTGCATGCAAGTTACCACCACTAGAGGGAGCATTTAGATCACCAATACTGTAATGTCCACATTTACCATGGCATTATTTTTGCCTAATATTCAGAATTCCTGACTCTTTTGTTTTAAAGGCCAGAAATCAATTTTCACGTGAATAAACTTAATTTCAGAATAAGGTTTCATATCCTTGGATCTACATTTCCAAAACTTACAGGCTGCTCCATGGCCATATTAGATTATATTGACTTAATTCCAAGTATCATTGGAGGAAAGCCTGTATAATAGGCCTGCTTAGTGGCATACTGAAGATCTCATGCAACATTACCCTTCATAAAGAGAATCTGACAACCTTGTGTTGATTTCAGGTGCACAAATTAAACCCTGTTCTCACTGCTGCACCGAGGAAACACCAGCCATTCACAATTACATTGGTCTTCCCAGCAAAAGATGAAGATTGCTGTGCAAAGCTTGACCCACGCACAAGCAAGTGGACTAAATTAATGGGTTTTGGTCCCAATACTTACATTATGCGTCAATGCCTTCTTCCAGATCTTTAGCTTCTCAATCTAGTCTACCACCCTCAATATTCCCCGATGGCCCCAAAGAACTAAGTGCCATTCACCTTTTAAGATCAGCCAAGGTGAGCTAGATATGGCCAGCCACTATGACACATTCATACTAGAACCAATTTTAATGCTTAAATAACAATTGCCAAGACTAGGTGATGCTTAAGCAACAAAAAAACAAGATCTATTTTTACTTAGGCACTTTTGCTCTAGAATTTTTACCAGCATAAATTGTTCCACAGCTCCAAGACTTCCCAGATTTGTGAGAAGGTCCCAAGAGCTAAGGGATCCGGTCCTTATAGCATTTGCAAGGATGCTTGAATATCACTATTTATGTATCACTTTGCCCATCCCATTTTTTGCAACAGTCTGATGCATTTGAGGCAAGAAAATGTCAATTAATAATTGACATTACTTCCTGATGATCTCAACCTTAGTCATTCAGAGTAATGATGGGCCACCCTCTATTTTGTTAAGAGAAGTAGGTAATTATTGCAGAGATGACAAGTGGGGAGGGTGGACATAGGCTGGAGAGAGAGAACAAGCAGTTCACAGCTAATAGCTCACTTCTTTTATAGCAGTAAAATCAGGAGGACTGAAAAGACCCTCATGTACAGTGGGTAACATGTAGTCCTCCATCTCCTTTCTGAAACATTCCGATTATGATTGTTAAAAACTGGTGGTGATCTTCAGCTATTTTGAAATAAACACAGGGGGAAAAAACCAGTAAACTCTAAAACAGGATTAATAAAAGGGATCATACTCTCGCCCACCCGCAAATCAAGTCCAATGCCTATGATATCAAAGAGTGTTTATACTTATAGAATGACCACCCACTGCTCAAGTCACATAAAAACATCTCTAAAAATTCACATGTAACTGTTTATCCAACATCTTTAGCTGAGGCTATTTTTGTTTGATTAGAACCTGCCAGTATAAAGATGGTGATGTTTAACTACTTTTAAGCTAGGATTACTTTAGAATTAAGAGCACTTTAAGTGGAAACCAATAGATTATGCTTGATTCTCTAATTTCTCACCATACTGGAATGCAGCTAGATTAGCCATCATATAGAGCTCATAAACTGCCTAAGCCATGTGTTCAATTTGCTTTAATATGTGCTGTATCAGCCAATCTTGGTTAAATCAGTTAACAGTTATGCAAATCAATACCTAAAAATAGCTGTCAGCCAAATGCAGTAACATTTGAGAACCCAGCAGAAATAGTCAGGATCAGTTTTACCTTTACCTCACAGGGACCAACACTAGTGGTCAAAGCTTGGTTTTTAAAGGGAGAATGCCATTGTTGTATAAAATCAGGAAGCTACTTTCCAACTACGAACAGCAAGCCTATCAAATTTCTTCTATTTTGCAGCTATTGGAAGAACTGTTTTCCACAATGCCTTCCCTTATCAAAATATTAAGACATGACTGTACGAGGTGTGAAGAGATTGAAAATCTGCAGGTACTAATTTTATTCAGGAAACATATCATATTCTTAAGACACTGCATAGGGTCAGAAGTATTTCTGCCCCCCCCCCTATTTCAAGATGCAAGATCCAAAATTACATAAAATAGTATTATCTGTATGCTGGGGTGTTTCAAACAGATCTTTCATGTTTCCTTCCAATCAGTTCATATATTACTAAGGCTTTCAATAAGCATCTACTGATATTTAACAGGACATATACCATTTTAGAAAAAGGACAGTAAGAAGTGCTTAAAAAATTCTTCCAAAATTTGTTATAAAGATTAGTATATACCTTCATCCTCTATATTTAGAAATTATATTTATGTCCATGTAAATCTGGATAAACAGAAGGTTTTTAAAAAACAAAAAAAAACAAGATTTATTTTTTTTCTTAAAATACAGTTAGTGCAAATCTAATTATGAAGTCTTCATCCAAAAGGTAAAGGGGGTAGATGGGAAATCCAGTCATCTTATAGCATTTCAATATATTCCAAATCATAATCTTGAGGAAGACTGGACAGTTTTATAGCTACCAGAAATAATTACAAAGCAGATTTTTTTAAAACTATAAAAGTTAGGATTAATGCCAGTGTTATTCTGCTTTCTCAAACTCAGCAACCTGAAAACTTGAATTGGTCAGTCAAGATTCTTCCCCCCCCCCCAAAAAAAAATTTTTTTTTAAAAAAATCCCACCACAAGAACTGCAAAAGCATTGGTGTAACAGGCACTTAAGAACTGAGGGCTCTCACAAAAAGGGAATATTATTGTTCACATCCACTTTTTTTTTTTTTTTGCGTTGTGTGTAGCTTTCCACTTCAGCCACCTGGGGAGATTTACGCTGCTTAGGAGGCTCATGATTTCAGTGGTGTCCCCCTTTTGTGGAAAAGATGAAAGCAGCATCACACCACTGCGACACTAGCCCTCTCCCTTTCATATATGCTGCATCCATCACAATTCATCTACAAAAAGGGTGGAGCCTTAGCACCATAACTGCTTTAATTATTCACCTCTTGAGAACAGTCCTGCATAATTTGCAAGCCTGAGATTCAATATTCTCATGCTCCAGTAGTGCAAATGGAAAATTTCCAGGTCTAGGACACTCTTTGGTTGTGTACAGGAAATCTTTCTTCTCTTCCCTGCACATAAACCATCTTGAAACCACTGCTTGCCACTTGGAATCAGTGGGGCTCGTAAAGCAGCAATCTGCAGAATCAACTGGTTTTTCCAGGAGATTCCACACCAGCTGGGAATTTAGACACCAAAAAAAGCCCTAAAGGACAAAATACCTTCCTTTGAGTATGAAAAAGCTTCAATCGCCGAAAAGGGTGATTAAAAAAAAACAGAGGTGTGTGTTTGAGGAATTTAAAGTTTTGTGGCATTTTTGAAAGGCGGGATTATCTGGTAAATATCTAGGATTTCTATTTTATGGAAGTTGGATTCTTATCAGCGTACATTTTTTGATAAGACACATCTGACTCTTGCTGTGAGATCAACCCCAACCAAATAACAAGTCAACCAGCTTGGACAGTTCATCTGCACTTATTGTTAGAAATTTTTTAATTGAGAATTGGCTTGTTAGATGGAACTTCTTCCTACCCATCCCCACCCCCACCCCCTAATTTTTACAAGCTCCCACACCAACTGGGATGCATGTCAGTCCCAGGAGCAGAAAGGAAACAAACACCTTAAGGCTGCATCATACAAGCTAAACCAAAAAAAACAACAAAAAAAAAACACTCATCCAGCCAAAACTGGGCCACCTTTTGGAAAACGGCAACTTATTATTTAACAAGGAAATCTATTTTCAAATAAGCTTCTATATTTTCACACATTTTGTTTCTGGGGTGATGATGCATGGTCAAGCAGCTTCACTGAACTCTGAATCGAGGGGGGGGCAGAGAAGTGAAAAAGTCCCTCCCCCCCCCCCGGCAACAGAAGGCTGAGAATCAGAAAGAAGAAATGTTTTCACAGTAAACCATAAATAAAAGTGCAGCAAGTGTTCAAGTAGGCTAACGAGGCTATGTGGACAGCGTGGAGTATTGGTTTTGGTCATCTTTTGCAGGCTCTGCGAGGGTCCCTCCCATTACTAATTGTGCTTTGTAAGGGACGAGCGTTATTAGAGTGCACAGGTGTGAGAGGAGCGGGACCCCGTCCGCCAGACCTCCCAGAACCTGCATAGGTGGGGGGGGCATGATTGTAAGCAGTTGACAGCTCCGGTCCAGTTGGCAAACCATTTCCTAAAAAAAAAAAAAAAAAGGAAACAATTTAAAAAAAATTATCTGCCATCAGACTTTCTATTTTCTCAGGCCTCACGTCTTTAGCAATGAAGACTGCTAATACTCAAAAGAGCCTGTTCTTAACTAGGGAGCATTTAGCCTTAAGTCGCTGAGAGCTGGTGAAATCACCAGTGGAGACCACAAAGTCCCAAGAGAGAGCTTGGCATGCAATGGTAATCAATGCACCAGAAAAACAAGCAGTTGACAGATTTAGTGANGTAGCTGGCAAGCGGCAGAGACGGAGCAGGCCGACCACCAGCTGGCCCAGCCCAAGGGAGGTAAGGCACCCGCCGGAAAAGGGGAAAAAAATGGCGGACAAAAAAAATGGCGGACAGCCTTGCTTGGCGACCCCCGTGAAATGGTCGATCGACCCCAAATGGGGTCCCGACCCACAGGTTGAGAACCACTGATCTAAGTCATTGTTTTCTAACCTCGGCAACTTTTAAGATGTGGGGGCTTGAAGATGATGGACTGGGGAATTCTGGGAGTTGAAGTTCACACATCTTAAAAGTTGTTAAAACTGAGAAACACTGATCTAGACAAATTGAAATATACGCGATGGTGCAAAATCTTTATTAGGTTTTAACTTACTGGGAACATTTGGCCACACAGATGGAGATTGTGTAACAAATGTTTTTTTATTGTACCCTGGATTTGGGTTAGATAGGGCTTCTGCATCAGGAACTTGCAGTTCTTCAAAATCAGTTCTCCATATGTTTTCCCCAGTACGTTGCCTCTTGATAAAATGGTTGATGTATGTGGGGCTATACTGAAGAAAACAGATGCCTGTCCATGATTTATTTGTTAAATGAAATTGTACAATGGGACATCTACCGTATTTTTCCGTGTATAAGATGCTATTTTTTCCTGCAAACACCCTGTTCAAAAATCAGGTGCGTCTTATACAAGTGCAGCATCTTATACACGGAAAAATAATGGTAACCTCCGCAGCCCAGGGAATGCCTGTGTGGGTTCTTTACATGCCGCCTGGTGCAGGTGTCAAGCCCCTGTGGGCTTGCCTCTAGCGGGAGGGGGGAGGGGGCAAGATGACTGGCCGGCCGAACTTCCAGATTTGCCACCTCAGCTGTTCGGCACTCCGCCGAACAGCTGATCAGCGCGGAGAAACTCACATGCTAGAGCGTCTTATACAAGGGTGTGTCTTATAGACGGAAAAATACGGTAGTACCAACATCTGACTGAACAAGCCATGAGTACTCTTCCCTGAGATTTGTTTAGCAAAGTTTTGGGGTTCTTTATTTATTTATTCAATTTCTATTAGCTGCCCATTTCAGTCAATGATTTTGGGGTCATTAAAAATGACTCCAAGTCTGGAGAGATAAAGTATACTTGCTGTTTAAATTCTGTATAAAATTTGCCTTTAATTATTATAGTTAATCTAGGAGCAAGCCAAAGTGAACTACAGTTTCTTATCTTTACTTTTTAAAACCAACCACAATTTAAATGAATGCATCTTTCCACATAGCCATTCAATGCTTTCTCCTACTTCCATACGCTTACTTACCAGTTGGCCCAAAAGTACAATTACCCGAATTAGCTGACAGGATGGAATTATTAGCCTGCTCACCCTGTGCCTTGGGGGAAAAAATGCAAAGGGGGGGAAAAAGACATCATGAAAACAAACCATTTTCCTTGAAAAAGTTATTTCCCCCCTCCCCTTGCTTATTTAAAAGCCAGTTGTTCCCATAAAGATGCAAAATACACTGCCGCGAAGAAAGACTGAAGAAAAACCTATCTTAAAACTGCTGACAGCAGACCCCAGAATGGAGCCGCGTGTGTGACAAACCTACCGCTTTACTCGACTGCCCAGGATGATCTGAACTGGGTTCACTAAAGTTGGGCACTTCTGAGTACACCATGCAGAACCTGTACAGAAAAAACACACTCATGAGAGAATGAAGTTTCTTGCCGCAACTATTTCTGCGACCTCTATCCGTTTTCCAGCAATAAACCTCGAGGCAGCCAAGAACGGGCCACAAGACTGCCAATGAGAAATACAGTACTCAGACCTGATGCTTTTCAGTGTTTCTCAACCTTGACAATTTTAAGGCATGTGGACTTCAACTCCCAGAATTCCGCAGCCAGCATTGCTGGCTGTGGAATTCTGGGAGTTGAAGTCCACATGCCTTAAAATTGTCAAGGTTCAGAAACACTGCTTTAGCTTATCCAAAGTTCAGGCTCTGAGAAAACTAAAGCCCGTAAAGGTGGCTTCCAAGTTTGCAACTTTGCTCACCATTTCTTCTGCTGTAGATTAGATGCCCGTATTTAACATTCTAATCATTTCTGCGGAAGGATAACGCAACCAGGGCTGCAAGCCTTTTGTACGTTTCCCTGAGAGTGAGATCCACTGAATCGTGAATGCCTCACTTGTATGAAAACATGCCTCGATCTGAGCCCTACAGAGAAGACACAGTAAGGCCAGTGTACAACAAGTTCAAAGAGAAGTGTTTGGGATCAGTTAACATTCCAAATGCATTAAGTGCACCCAAAATTCTGCACATTAAAATTGCTCTTTAAAACCTCCTCTTCCAAACAACTGTATTTTGAGTCTGAGTCCCCTGTGGGATAGAATCGGTTAAGTGACGTCTCGCTCAGCAGAATGATCTTTCACACTAGCAAATCCGAAACAAATGCATTTCAATCTCTTGACGTCACTTAGGCTCCCCAAACTAAAATCAGATAGCCACCTATTTCAGAAATGTACACTAATCTTCTCTAAATCCAGATCGTCAGGAGATCAGCCCTGGTTTTGCTAAAATATACCCAACCCAATGCCATTTCTATTTGCAACACTTATTTTCTAGCAAAACTATTCGTGTTCATTTTTTCCCCTTTATGACAACATCCTACAAGTTTCAGAGACCCTTTGGATGTTTTGCTTTAATTAAAAAAAATGGAAGCAGAAATAGTGGAAGGTAATGGACTGTGAATAATCAGGTCACATTGCATAAATTAGGCTACGAGTATAATCACACAGAGGCCACTTAACATTCCAACTGTTAGAACTATGCTCTAAATATTCCTATCTATTCTAGCCTGGTTCACAATGCATGATTATCCCAGAATGACTGGAAGATGAATTATGGACCAATTATTCAAAAATTTGAGTGGGGTCACTAGCACATTAATCCTCATTTATTGAATACCCATAGCTAGCCCAATTCACAGAAAACAGAGCTAAAAGCCAAGAATTCTTCCACTGTATCTGACACAACGCAAGGAGAAACAAACATTTTCAGTAAATCTTCAAAACAGGGCTAAGCCTTTGATGATCATCTAATGCTCCCAATCATCATTCATGTCAAGATGAACCAGCCCCTGAAGTAAAAAAAAAAATCTGAACTGGTTCAATTCTTTGCTTCTAAAGGTTTATTACAAGTCTCAATGAACAGCCTACTTAAAGTTGATAAATGCTAGACAAGCCAACAGTCTGACTCAGGACCCCGTACATCTCAGAGACCTTAATTCAGTGGTTCTCAACCTTTTTAATGCCGCGACCCCAACCGGTCGTAAGTCAAGGACTAAACTGGTCATAAGTCGAGGACTAAACCGGTCGTAAGTTGAGGACTACCCAACCAGTCGTAAGTCGAGGACTTTCCCTGCCCGGGAGCGCCGCGCATGTGTGGTTCCGCCCCCTACGCCGGCCGAGGCGTAGCTGGCAAGCGGCAGAGACGGAGCAGGCCGACCACCAGCTGGCCCACCCCAAGGGAGGTAAGGCACCCGCTGGAAAAGGGGGAAAAAATGGCGGACAAAAAAAATGGCGGACAGCCTTGCTTGGCGACCCCCATGAAATGGTCGATTGACCCCAAATGGGGTCCCGACCCACAGGTTGAGAACCACTGCCTTAATTAGAACCTAAAAGATTCTGCTACATAGAGGGGGAAATTTACCTTTACACCCCTAGAGAGGCTGACTCCTCCAGGACAGACTGGAGCTCAATACCAGAGTAGGATGTGGAAGCTCGCATTGCGGCTGCCTCTACCGTACCTGGCCTGTGGATAAATAGAGGTCTTCAGATTTTCGTGCTCCAAGTCCTTGAAAGTGACAATGTCTTACCCCAACAAAAGGCTAAACTTACCTGCTTACAACTATACTCAAAAGACAGAAATTGTGCTGGATGGGAAAGATTGATCAAGATGTCATTTCTTAGTACTGAAGTTGAAGTTCCTAAGTTCTATATTCCTCCACCCCACTTTCAGGCAGAATAAAACAAAATAAAGTTGGATCAACACCACAGAGGAGGAGTAAACAGCAGAGATACTTTTCCTCTTAAGGCCCAGACTTTGCCTTACCTATCAGGTTTCAAACAATAAACAGATTATGTGCAAAATGAGATACTCACTCCCCAATTTTTTGCAGGTCACCTCCCCTTCCGGTATAAAGTGTAAGGCATCCTTTCCACAGAGAGGCATACCTAAGGAAGGAAACACAAGCAGCATTATGGAATGGATGGAATCCAGGAGAGAAGCAACCTGGAATTAAGGAAAAACTTCCTAACAGTGAGGACAATTAACCAGTGGAACAGCTTGCCATCAGAAGTTGTGGGTGCTTCATCACTGGAGGTTTTTAAGAAAAGACTGGACAACCACCTGTCTGAAATGGTACAGGGTTTCCTGCCTGTACAGGGGGTTGGACTAGAAAACCTCCAAGATCCCTTCCAGCTCTATTCTGATTGAACTATTAGACACTAGGAAAAAAATGGACTGACGGTGCAAGTTTTATCAGGATAAAACATAAGCCATCATTCATCAAATGCCATCACATTTATCATCACACTCTTTAAAACTGGAGAGAACAATAAAAAATACACTTGAAGCACTGAAATGTTAAACCTGGATTTGCCTTATATTAATTGCTGACTTCTATACTTTGGCTGTAATTAAGAACCAATTGGATAACTTTATTTTATCAAGTTAAAGAATTAAACAACTGACATTTGCATTAAGTGTGGTTCCTATTTCTACTTTATGCCTCTGTTTGGCCCTTGAGACTAGACTCATAATTCAACAAAATAACTCTTTACCAAGATTTCACTGAGGCTGATAAAAAGGGGACAAAAACACCAACTGCTTCTAAAAATTAATATCGCTTCTAAAACTTTTGCACAGATAGCCAAAGTGTTGTGTTATCAATCTTTAAAGAAGTTATCCATCTCTTTGTGTGAGTCACGTATTACTTCTTCTAAAATGCAAATAGAAAGCAGCTCTAATATGGTATTGTGCCAAGTTGCCATATGAAGGGCTTACAAATTAGCTTAAGGGTAAAATCTAGTTGCACAATGATATAGAAGCAAGTCTCGCGTTATTGTTCCCAAGTAAGCAGCCATGACTCTGTTTTACACTTAAGCCAAAGAATATGTTCCAGCCTCGTTCAGGATATATCATATTTGCATCCAAACCTCTGTCCAAGGTATGCTAAATGTGGAAATGGGTGTAGGGTTATTCCATTTCATCGCAGCTGCAGATTATAAGGCCAGTTATACTGGAAGGAATAGTTTTATGTCCTGAGCAGGATATCATGAACTTGATAGACAAAAAGGTCCAAAGACAAATCACCCCAGTTTAACTACAAATTACTTACTGAATGAGTCTTACTAGTGGATAATTGTAGTCTAATATGCAATGAGAAAACATTATCAGGAAACATGTACTAGACCAGCGGTTCTCAACCTATGGGTCGCGACCCCATTTGGGGTCGATCGACCGTTTCACGGGGGTCGCCAAGCAAGGCTGTCCGCCATTTTTTCCCCCTTTTCCGGCGGGTGCCTTACCTCCCTTGAACTGGGCCAGCTGGTGGTCGGCCTGCTCCGTCTCTGCCGCTTGCCAGCTACGCCTCGGCCGGCGCAGGGGGCGGAACCACGCATGCGCGGCGCTCCCGGGCAGGAAAAGTCCTTGACTTACGACCGGTTTAGTCCTCGACTTACAACCAGTTTAGTCCTCGACTTACGACTGGTTTAGTCCTCGACTTATGACCTGTTGGGGGTCGCGGCATTAAAAAGGTTGAGAACCACTGTACTAGACCATTCTAATTGAATGAGCAGCCACAGGGGCAAGTGTCAATTAACAGAGCTGCGTGCTGAATTGGATTCAAGTAAAAAAAATGATCCGGAGCATGGGAAGGTGCCAATACAATACCAATCAGCAATTCCTTAAAACCACTTCCTTTCCTCCGATTACACGAATAACTGTGCAAAACTGACCAAAGGCTTCTGAAGAACAGTGGTGTTACCGGCAACCGGAGTTGTATTTATCACTGCCACATCACTGATTTTCTACTTTTTAAAAGCATTTCTTCTACTCAAAACATGTCATCGTTACAGGTATTGTGCAAGAAGAGCCACCCTATTGGGTCCATAAATTCTCCTCAGGAAATTCATAGCTGATGCAATTTGGCCAGGATATACATTGTTGTGTATTTTTAATTTCTAACATAAAAAAATAAAGACAAGCTCAAACAATTAATTATAAAAAGTCACTGAAAGTCTAACTAACTGGAATGTGATGAAGCAGCTTAAGTCCTTGTTTTTAATACTAACTGGCAAATAATTCAACAAGGCCCTCCCTGAAACCTTTTAGCTATCTTTAGACTGAATTTGACGTAAAAAATGCAGGATACCTATAATAAATTAAGATGATTTATTGCTAACTATTAATTGTGTCTCTCTCCATTTTAAAATAAGCCAGCTTTCTCAGTAATACTTGATGGAGGCTCTCTAACAGAAGAGGCAGATATAGCTAGCTGCAACAGGAACGATGTGTTACAAATCACATTATATCAGATCTCAATCCTTTACTATATCTTATTTCAAAGGAGCATACTACCAGTATATCTAAGCAATCAGAGCCATTTACAGTCTGTGTAAAGACTCCAAAGAATTGCCCTTATTTATAAAAAAAAAGTCTGAAAACGTTCGCCTTACAGAGCCTGTTTTATTGAAGATGCTGGAGGGAGGAAGTCTTGAATTTTCAACTCCATAAGAAACCCTACTTTGGGCCAACTCAGATACTGAAAAATTTATTTATTTATTTATTTATTTAATCCCATTTATACCCCGCCCTTCTCCCGAGGGACTCAGGGCGGCTTACAGGTAAATAAAAACAGTACAATACAATAAATATCTCTAAAAGCCAAATTAAAATATATATTAAATAACCTGTATTAAGTTTAATATTATAAAATCCCTTTAAAATCCCTATAAAATCCCCCCCTAG